GTAGTTCACTGACAAGCTAGGCAATATCGCGTTCATAATCGCAGATATATCGCATTCGATTATGAATGCGATATTGCCTAGCTTGTCAGTGAACTACCGCTCTGCACTAATTTAAAGCTGGGACGTGAGAAAGCAAACTGATATGTTCATTCAGCCGACAGAAGTCCTGCAGAGCACCATTCTCACAGTTTTCCATTAAATTATATTATATTTGTCCCAAATCGTTGTTAATGTACATAATGACTTCACCCTAGGCTGTAAAATTGTGTATTGTGCATTTTTCAGCGAACCATTTGTCTTTCTGTGGCTCTAATTAAGTCTGTATGCTTCATATAGAGAGCTACAATATAGATCGCTCTTTCTCTTTCCATTTGCTCTGTTTTTTAAACACCGAACTAGAGACCTACGCGGGACGGATTTTTCTGTCCCGCGCCCGCAGAAATATATCTTATCTGGTCCCGCTCCCGCCCGCGACATTCATGTTTTGTCCCGCTCCCGCCCGCAAAAGCCCGCATAAAAGTAATCTATAGCCTTTTTCAGTACATCGAAGAAATTTACATGAAATGGTTCTGTAACATCTCCTAAGCTCCACAACATCCCAGCATAAACGCTCCAGATAAAATATTTGTTATTTAGGCTAAGCATCAACATTCACATTCACAAACCACTGTTATTTTTAACAGAAAAGCAAGCATGTGCTGCTGTGTGCATGGTTTGGCGTGGCAGAATGCGAGCAGCGCGCTTCCTTTATTATCACTAAAAGCTGACATCTCAGTTAATCGCGATCTCATAGAGCTCTGTTATATCACATTAAATATATGCACAATGAATCTTTAACAGTGTCTACACTTCGTGTGTTAAAATGAGAGGATTCGTGAGCATGCAATTTCAGCACTGCGGTGAGTAGATTCTAACTTAATCACCTCTGATTGGTCACTGCGTTCCAGAAATCAACAGCTGAGTCTGTGATTGGCTACACTGCGCAACCCTTTAAACACGTGTTATAAATAGAAACTATGCCTAGCTTGCGCGTCAATCATTTTAATGTTAATATTAGTAGTTCTTTTTGCTTTTGTGCAACAGATAAATAACAATGTATATGTTTTAGACACTTTATGTTTAGATCATTTCTATTTTGCGGGAGTCCCACGAATCATATTATTCTCCTGCATCCTGCACACACACGAGTCTCTTCCCGCCCACACCAGAGTTGCCAAGTCCGCGTATTATACGCGACTATGCTCACAGTTAGCCAATCCAGGCCGTGCACAGACCTTTTGAGGGGCATGTGCTGAAACTGAAAAAGGGCTTGTTTTTTTCAGAGTCAGACTGAGCTTCAAGAAAGTTCTAGGATATTCTGCAGACACAAAACATGTTCCTTTGTCTGTTACACCAAATACACAAAATAATGATCTTTAAAAAAGCATCATATGACCCCTTTAAAAAAATCATTGTACACATCATTTACTGTTGAAGAAGTTTTTCTGCCAAACAAGGTACAGCGGTGGAAAAGCCTAGAGCAATTTTGCGTGCCTTTCGCATGGCTCGGAAATACCCAACACATCTGTCTGCAGCATTCATTTGCACTGAGAGATACTTGGCATCCGCACGTGTGCAGATGTGACTCATCTTTACAACTCGCCATTTCAACATCTGCCTCTCATTTACACCCTGCTTTATAGCCCTAAAACATATTTATTACAGGACCGTTTCATGCGCATTATAATAATTCAGTTATCCAAGGTCTGAATCAATGAGCACTTATGTAATTTCGCCACGTAGGTCAAGGTATTATTAGGCCAAAAAGGTGCAGCTAGGGCTGTGCAATTAATCACATGCTATTGTCAAGCGCATCTCGTCAGTAAAGCCGGTTCCGTGATTTGTAGTAAATCGCCATCACCTGCTTTCAGATGGAGCGGCATTTAATACACAGAGCCGTAGTTCACTGACAAGCTAGGCAATATCGCGTTCATAATCGAATGCGATTAATCTGCGATTATGAACGTGATATTGCCTAATTGTCCGTGAACTACGGCTCTCTGTAGTAAATGCCACTGCATCTGAAAGCAGGTGATAACGATTTACTACCAATAATGGAACCGGCTTTACTGACGAGATGCGCATGACAATCCCATGCGATTAATTGCACAGCCCTAGGTGCAGCCCTGCTAAATCAAACAGACGTCAAAGTATTTTAACAGCTTTGCCACATTACTACTACAACTGGGTCACCTTAAAATCTCAGAGGGATCAAACCACCTTTTATACTTCCCAAAATCACATGTAATTATTGGCTGGGGCTACTTCCTGATCTCCACAGATGAGTCTCAGCTTCAGACACTTTAAATAAAAAGTGGCATGCCTGGACGGTTGGGTTACTGTTACCTGAAGTTACTTGCTACTCAAGAGCATCACTGACTTTTCAATGAAGTGTATTGTAGGGGGCGGAGTTTGAGGCAGGAGGCGTGGCCTAATTCTAATTTGAATGAGACATGAAGTTGCTGTGGGTTCTTTATGGCGAACGACCCATTCTAGAAAAGCCATGTCCAGTGCTGAGAAATAAATGCACTGTACCTCATTTATAAAACATAAGTCTGCAACTGTGCTTTGGACTACACCTAACAACTACAGAGTGGATTTGAGATCTCCACAGCTTTGTTAGAATGCCTTAATGTAAAGATGGCTAAAAAAAAAAAAAGAATAATAAAAAAAAAAGTAGCTTCGATTTAGAATTTGTTTAAATTATGGCTATGAATTTAATGCTTATCTTATAATTATTCAATTAAACGATTTAAAATTATTTTATGCATGCATTAAATCATGCCGAATTAAATGCATGATATGAAAGTAACAGAAGATGCATGCATTCAGAGAATAA